ATTTTCTTTCTCTGTGCAATCAATACCAAAGTTAGATTCCGAACAGCCTTCCTCGAGAGATCGACCCGGGGAACAAATCTTTCGATTCGGTACTCGGTAAAAATAATAATTTGTGCTACGACAGTGGTTGTCGTTCATTTGAGCTCTGGTCCACAAGGTGGGTAGCACGACTTATTCAGCACCACAGTGTTGCCTCTCACTGCACGATCATCGGCTAGAGGACCATGTTGTGAGATTGCCATTTGCCATCTTGGTACCGTAGAACACTACATTCGTTTAGATTTGACTGATGATTGTCCATTACTGCCTATTCATAGCATGTGGTTCCGTTACCGAGATCAATCGGTTGTGGGTTGGGATAATTAGTACGAGTCTAGGTTGCGATTGTGGTTTACTGTTCAAATAAATCATTCTTGAATAAAAGAACGATATTATTCAGTTATGGTATGACGCTTCTCATTCAACTTAAGTTTAGCAAATTAAAAAAAAAAATCATTCAACTTAATGTTTTACAATAATAATTAAAAAAAAACATTCATTACATTATTATTGGGCATTGTCGTAATCCAACTTAAACTTAGCCAACTGTTCTTCGACTTCCGCCGCCTCCCGACAGTCTGGAACAATCTGCTGCAAGGTCGATGTAATGCCCAAAAGACGGTCCACCCACTAAAAAAATGGAAGAATGAAAACATAAGACTAAAATTTATTAAAAAAAATTTTGTAATGAGTTAACATTAATTAAAATTTAGTAACCAACTTACATAGGCGGTATTGACACGCGTTGGGACCTCGTTCTCGTCCGGCAGCTCCTCGCCCATGAGAGTCGGATGGAAAACCCGACTGTACCACTGCTGGTAATCCTCAGTCACCTTCCCGCGATCCTGTGTGGTGTGGGTCAACATACCGGTGTTGACCATCCCAGACATCGGGAACTGGGTCCAGGCACCTACTGCACCAGCCTCAGAATGCTCAACCTTGTAGTTCCTAGACTCCCAAGCACGTACTGCACTGATTGGCGGGCATATAGGGGGAGGGACAGTCTGGACATACCCCAGCTGACGCAAACACCGCGCAGGCAAGTACGACTCGACGACATCGCGGTATCGAATCCATCCGCTATAAAGAGTCCTCGGCTCTATCGCATCTGGGCTGGAGCTGCCGTATGGCAACCATTGCACCTGTTCACAATTGCATAAGAGCATTTATAAAAATAATTATATTGTTTTAAATAACGGGTAACTAAATTTAAATAAAATAACTTCACGTACATCAGAGACAGTGAGTCTGTCGAGGCGCCGACGGATGGCTGTGAGCCGATCGTCTGACCGTGGCGCATTCCCTACGCTCCACGAGCGTGATCGTGCGAGACAGTCAGGACCGATGGGTAGACGCCCCCGGGGTCGGAAATCGGGGAAATACTCATATATCCAGGACTGCAGAAGAGTCAAGCAGCCCGACATATGGGCAGAGTCCCCTCGACTGGCAATACCTAGCTGTCTATACATGTATGCCAGCGTAGCCGATCCCCATGAGTAACCCCCAATCAAATCCAAGCCGTCGAGCACCTCGTGCAGGAGCTTGGGGGTCACTCTACTACCACTCTTGTCGACGAACAAAGTGGTAGCCAGCATCACCCACATCCAGGCACCCGCCTCATCCCTAGCCGGCCGGCGTTTCCCCCTGAATGCCCCCGAAATGGCGGCTTCAGACACCGAACCACGCTGCCAGAACGAACTCATGAGTTCGCCCTTGGTGACCGAAAGTATCGACATGCAGAGCCCATGACAGGCGTCCGAATCCGGGTCCTCAGCGACCACGACTCCCTCCACTGGAACGCCCAAAATGGCCCGGACGTCGTGCAGCATGATGCTCATCTCACCAAAAGGCATGTGAAACGAGTTAGTATCCGGCTGCCATCGCTCCACAAAAGCAGAAATGAGTGGGGTGTCCAAGTGGGTGTGCATGGAGTCGACCAAATGTGACAGCCCGGTCTGGTCGAGAAGACCTCCCGTATCGGAAGACATCTCTTCACGCCAAGCCTTCAGATTCTCGATCGCTCGCAGTCTGTTGTGGCATTTCAGCGGCCCCCTCAAATTCCCACTCCACATGCGGGAGGCGACGTGCCCAAGAAAGCTAGGGATGACACTCCCATCAATGGGCCCACCGGGCACTGGGCCTCTAACGATCCAGGGTGCATCATCATCGGTCCTAGCTCGTTTGCTAGTACCTGCATTAAAATACAACATATATGTATATATTGACTTGTTGACAGATGCATTAAATAAAATATATTTAATAAAACATATTTCATTAGTTACGTTACATTTTACATTTTATGTTATTATTATTATAAGCATATATAATTTATAATTATTAATATTATTTTTTGAATTTATAATTAATTACAATTTATTCAACTTACCCTAAATAATTACAAAACAATAAATAAGTAAATTATTTACCTGATGAGGATGCAGATGGGCCAAAACGCCCCCCAGCCTGTCGTTGAGGAGCAGGCTGTGTGGGACGAACAACATGTACCGGACGAACATGCTGTAGAACCGGCTGTACCGGACGAACTGACTGTACAGGAGGACGAGGGTGGTTAGGACCCGTAGGCTGTGCGTGGTCCTGATCATCTGAAGAGTCGTCCGAGTCATAGTCCTCTGGACCCGGCTCCCTCTCGCCGTACGACTCATCATCAGCATACCCCTGCTGACCATAAGGTAATGGTACGCGTGCGTGGGGGGGGTAACGACTTCCCTGCGTAGCGGTGAAAAGCACATCCCGGCTGATCGTACGGTCCTGGTGCCGGAGGTATCGTCCTGCCCGCTTGGCCAGGATAATAAAATCCATGTTCGCCGTACGGGAGGGCTCCGTGGGGTCGCGAACTACCTGGCTGGCCCTCAAAATGATATGGACCAGTGGGCACTGGTGCGGGGGGGCGGGAACTCTGGCTAGCCTGACGAAGTTGTACCCTACGAGCCTCATCGATCAACGCCTGCCTTTCCGTGTCCCTCTCCCGACGAACGGACGCATTGACACCCCGACTTCTAGTGTGTCGGGTGCCAGAACCATCATAATAGTCATCGTACGCCTCGTCGTCGTCCCTGGCATTAGATTGTCCAGGTCTGCCAACACCCTGAATCAGAAATACAATTATTAGATTTTTCCAATGTAATGATTATTCTAATAACTATTAAAATAGATTATAATTCATTTTTCTTTTCATATATAAATTTTATTAATTATTATTATAATCATAATTGTTGAGATTTATAATAGTTATTATAATTTTTTAGTTCAATTATTATAATTAACATTAATTTATAATTATTATTATATTTAATTATAATTATCATTACACATTATAATTATTATTTCTTATAATATTATTATTATAAGCATATATAATTTATAATCCCCGGCCGGCCGGAACCGACGGCCGGTTGGTTCGACAGGTTCAAAAAAAAAAAATTTAAAATTAGTTCCGGCCAAAAGAAAAAAAAAATTACCTTGTTGGAGAAGAATCCTTTGCCGAGGCTGTAGGATTTTTTCGACATTTTTTTGGATTTATTTTGATGCTCGAATCGTTCGTTGAAGTTCAGAAATTTAGAGAGATAGAAAGTTTAGAGAGATGAAATCCAAAAAATAGTTAAGGGTAAAAGACTAAATGAGGGGAGTGACTAGTAAAAAGGAGCGGTGAATAGCGATTGAGTTGAACAATGTAAACGAACCCCAAGCTTACCAATTAATATATACTAAAAATATTGTTATAATATTTAATTATTATAATATGTTAGTGTAAATGAGTGTGTGTCAGGAGTTTTGATGGCCTGCAATTTGTCAGAACTATTAATGGCCTGCCATATGTCAACTCTCCTCTCAATTCGGTATTAATTCTGCCAACGACCAATTTTACTGAAGCTTGTGAAGGAAGGATTATGCTCAATTGTTCAATCTATAAAAGGGGCTGGAGAGGAGGATTTCCAGACACGGAAAATAAAAGAAAGAAAGAGAAATGGGAGAAAAGGAAAGGAAGAGAGAGAAGTAAAGGAAAGAAAAAATAGAAAGGGAAAAATTTATATATTTTATAGTTCTCAATTTTCGACTCCGTTTTAGTTTGCTGGAGCTCGTAAATTTGGTGTGCTACAGATTTAGAAACGTTTGTCGTTATATCTTTGGAGAAGTTACGCCCCGTTAGCTGCCATACGGAGCGTATTCTTTTTGCGGAAAGAGTTTTACTCGCCTCGGTTTTAATATTTTTCAGGGTCTATTTCAGATAAATACGTAGTACGAAATATACCGACGTCTCTAACATAATCGTGAGCTAAGACGTGGTCAGATAAATACGGAGTATACAGATTTATCATTTCTTGATAACCTTCGCTATATAAATATATTATAAAATGTGCCCACTCATCCTAAAAGAGAGGGAAAATGAGCATGATTAGCCTCAAGTCAATATCACGTGATGATTCAGTATAATGGCTAAACAGAACACAGTGTAAATACATAACTGTAAGGTGGCAGTTTATATAAGAACTGGAACCGAAATCTGATGATAGTTTTAAATATTTTTTATTATTTAAAACTGATGAGAGTTCCAAATACTATAAGTTCCAATCATATCGTCCGGCCTGGTGCTAGTAGTACTTAACCTTGAGTTGAATTTTCTACCTCTAGAGTTGTAGAAGACGAAGAGCAAATTTTTGCAGATGGCACAGGAGAAAAATCAAATGGCTTTGGTGGAATTTTTATAGACTCAATGCTTCCTTCTAACATCTCCACAACCTTTGTCATTGATGGCCTATCTGTTGGGGACATCTGGATGCACCAAACCCCTGCCAATACCATTTTCCTCTCTATTTCTGCATTCAGTGGAACATCTAGTTTTTTGTTCTCAAGCAACACGCGTTCATAGATTTTATCAGGAAAATAATTTGTGTTAGAATCTATCACGATATGATTTTTCGCTCCCGCCATTTCAAGAAGCATCATTCCATAACTGTAGACATCTGATTTATGGGAAACGACTCCAAAACTTCTAGAGAATACTTCTGGAGCAATGTACCCAACAGTCCCTCTGGTCCCAATTTCGATTTTATACTCTGCTTTTTCTTGAACAAATTTGCGATCCCGAAATCAGATATTTTCGGAGAAAGTTCCTCATCTAGTAAAATGTTTTGAGGCTTGATGTCGAAGTGAACAATCCTGGTATTACAACCTCTGTGTAGATACTCAAGTCCTCGGCCAACCCCAAGTGCAATTTCAAATAGCTTTTCCCACTCCACGACTGGTGATGCGTTGTTGGAGATGAAGTTATCCAATGATTTGTTGGGCATGAATTCGTACACCAAAGCTCTTTTGTTTCTTTTGTAACAAAATCCCAACAGATTTACTATATTGACGTGGGAAGTTTTACTGATGCTGGAAACTTCGCTGATGAAATCTTGGGCATTATCGCCAGTTTCAGTCAAAACCTTAACCGCAACAAGCTGGCCATCGGGTAGTTTTCCTTTGTACACAGTGCCATATCCACCTTGCCCTAGCTTATCCGAGAAGGATTTCGTTATTTTCTTGATTTCTTTGTAGCCATATCTCTTTGGGGCCAGGGATCCATGGCCGAGTACAACTTTGTCAATATCTTCATTGCTTTCTGGGTCTTGATTGTGTGATCTTTTGATGTAAAAGATGATGAAGGATGATAGAACCAAAACACCAAGACCTAGTGACACGCCTGCATAGAGGCATTATATAAGTAACTTGTTGGCATGGAACCGCTGTAGAGCACTTGCAAAATAGATTATGCTGACAAGAGTTGAGGGTTTACCTATTATTACATGCTTGTGCAGATGAGAAAGCCTTTCTTAGATCCTGGGAGAAAAACTAGTAAGCGCAAGAACATAAATAAATCTCTCACTTTCTAGCTAGGCACCTTCAAAGATGTACAGATGAGTAAATATCTATTTAATGTTTCAAGTGAGGCAAAATGACTGACTGTTTGTAAGAGTTTGGAGGGGAGGGAGCAGGGCCAAATATATGTTGAGCCCCTTCGGTTTATTAGTCTGTTTTAAAAGTACTAATAAATATGAAAACAATTACAGTAGATGATCAGCTAAACTATTTTGGATGTAGTACAATAATATGAGCTCAAGCATAGACATGTAATTCAGAAATCACGATATATCTGGAAAGTTGAATATTTGTTTGTAGAGAATAGCAGGAAAGAATGTAAGGCCATCTCCAGTGCAGCTCTACTCTGGCGTGAAAATGCACGTTTTGTGCTCCAGTCCTACACTACAATTCAACGCTATATCATATACATGAACAGTGTTGCGCCAGATGTGGCGCAACACTGTTCATCTGCGCCAGTTTTTTTTTTTTTTTTATTATGTAATATTAATGATAAATTTTTGTATAATATGTATTAATAAATGTATTTTTATGTTAAGTAACTTTGTACAATGTATTTTTTATGCTAAATAATTTTGTATTTTTTATTTATTTGGGTAATAAATATTTTATATAATATTAAATATACATCTACACTACTCTAAAAGGACGAGTGTTTTTGTAAAAATATGAACTACCTAAAAAACTCTTACTTTGACATATTTTTAATGGCAAATTAGTAATACACTAATACACATCATATTTTATATTTTTAAATATAAAAATAAATTACCTAAAAAACTCTTACTTTTTGACATGTTTTTAATGGCAAATTAGTAATATACTAATGTCCACCATATCTTATATTTTTAATTATAATTAATATTTAATTAATTACATACAACTACATGAACAAATCATTCCATACTCCTAAAATCAACTACAATATGTTGGTTTGGCACCATTATTTCTCACGAATTTGTTTTCTTCCACATATCTCTAAAACTATTTGATAGGATATAGAATTGTTGTTTTAAAAAACGTTATTATTTTTAATATAATTTTAATGGTAATATTGTAATCACATTTCGTAACTCTAATATATAAAAGTTCTTTAAAGAAATTAAAATTGATCCAACAAAAAAAGTATAATAAAATAACCTATACAAATTGTGTAATAGTATGCGAGATTAATTGTTGAATGATTGTTCTGCAACTTAAACTTCTAATCAATTCAATTTCTTCGGTACATAAGACCAGAACAATTTTATGATATTGTATAATACTAAAACTTAATCTATTTGTTTTCACGTCAAATGAGATACCACTTTAGCAACATGGAATAATTTTAACCATATAATTATATACAAATTAATTAAAAATATCTCGAGAATCATGATATGATTTACATGTTGAAAATTAATTAATTTTAATCAAAAAAATATATTCATATATTATCATTACTCATCTATCTATTAATAGGTGTTATTATAATAAAATAGTTTTTAAGAAAAAAAATGTACGAAATAAAAAATTTATATATTTGAGTATAAATGAGAAGATTATAATTATATATAATATAATATAAATATATAAAATTAATTGATATAAATAAGACATATGATTCGAAAGCGTGCTATACTTTAATTTTATGTACTTTTTAACAAACCTAAAAGTTATACGCACACAGACACATATATATTAAAATACACATGAAAAAACAATTTAAAGTTAAAAAATAATAAATTCAATAAATAATATTAAATTTATAATTAAGTTGTAACACTTACTAATAACTATGAAAAAAAGTAATAAATAAAATATTATAATTAGTAAAAGTAATTGTAGAACTTTTAAATTTGTACTTATCGATGTAAACGAGCCAAATTGTTCACCACATGTTAAATTTTTGCTTTTATTAGTTCAGTGTATAAATTTTAGATGATAGACAATAGTTATTTATACTTTTATCCATGTAGGTTAGAAAATTAGTTTTATTTTTTTAAAAAAATCTTTGATAATTTTGATTTTAAATAACGTTTTATTTGCTATTAGTTTTTTAATATAATACATAAATACCATATTATATATATAAAATAATACTTTTTATTATTTGATATTTAATGAGCAAGAAATGTAACTCAATTGATAAGTTAATAGGTAGTCTTGTGATAAAATAATGAGGGATTTCTTAAAAATTATACGGATTAAAAAGTTTATGTGTTTAATATATTTTTAATAGAAAAATTATAAATACATCTAACTAATAACAAAAACTCCTACATAAAAAATATAATTTATAAAGGAATAAAAAAATGGTACATTGCAATGAAAAACCCAATGGTAAGACATATCCACTGAAAATCCCAAATGATATTTTATTCGTATAGTTGTCATTGTAAAGTTTCATTGACTATTCCAACAGAGATCAAATTACATTATATTGAAATTTCAGTTGATTTAATTAATCTAATTATCATTATTTATTATTGTGTGAATCTTTGTTTGAATTTTTTTCGGGTCATATTTCAACAGTTGGAAAAAATGTCACTGGAATTGTAAGAATTTCAATGGAAGTTTTATTCAAAATCTACCTGCAATGGTGGATACAAAATAATTTCATACTTGAGGCATTATTTAGTTAATAGAAAAGGTATACCATTAAAATAACATAATATCATTATAATTTATAAATTATAGTTTTCCTAATTTGTCATCTTTCTCATCAATAATACATGTTACACATCAATACAGTTACAATTAAAAAAACATAACTTGCCTCAATTCAACATAAGCAAATAATTGTAAACAATTATGTATTTTAAAATATTTTGAACAAAAGTTGACTCGACAATATTATTGAGGAATTTATGAATTATAAATATTCAATTATAGTATAAATTTAAAAAAAAAATTGTAATTAAATATAATATAATATAAGATATAGAAATAATTGATATATAATGAGACAGATGAACGAAAAAATTCTAGACTTTATATTATGCATTTTTTGACAAATCTACAGTTAAGAACATGTAAAAGAACAAGATAAAAGTTTAAAAAAATATTAAATATGATGAATAATATTAAAAATATATAAGTCGTGACACGTACTAATAAATATGAAACAAAGTAATAAATAAAAATGTTATAATTATTAGAAGAAATATAAACATTTTATAAATATACTTATCAATGTAAACGGGCTGAGTTGTTAAACGCTTGTTAGTTTTTTGTCCTTATAACTTTATGTGTAAATTTGATGTGATAGACAAAGTTATTTGTCCATTTATCCATGTAAGTTACCAAAAGCAAATCTTTATTATTCTAATTTTAAACAACTTTTTATTTGCTATATTAGTTTTTTTAATATAATATATAAATATCATATTGAACATATAAAATAAGAAATATTCTAATTTTTAAATATTTAATATGTAAGAAATGTAACTCAATTGGTAAATTAATAGGTAATTTTGAGATAAAATAATGAGTGATTTCTGGAAAAAAAAAATATAGGAACTAAAAAGTTCATGTTCTAAATTGTTGGCATGGAACCGCTGTAGAGCACTTGCAAAATAGATTATGCTGACAAGAGTTGAGGGTTTACCTATTATTACATGCTTGTGCAGATGAGAAAGCCTTTCTTAGATCCTGGGAGAAAAACTAGTAAGCGCAAGAACATAAATAAATCTCTCACTTTCTAGCTAGGCACCTTCAAAGCTGTACAGATGAGTAAATATCTATTTAATGTTTCAAGTGAGGCAAAATGACTGACTGTTTGTAAGAGTTTGGAGGGGAGGGAGCAGGGCCAAATATATGTTGAGCCCCTTCGGTTTATTAGTCTGTTTTAAAAGTACTAATAAATATGAAAACAATTACAGTAGATGATCAGCTAAACTATTTTGGATGTAGTACAATAATATGAGCTCAAGCATAGACATGTAATTCAGAAATCACGATATATCTGGAAAGTTGAATATTTGTTTGTAGAGAATAGCAGGAAAGAATGTAAGGCCATCTCCAGTGCAGTTCTACTCTGGCGTGAAAATGCACTTTTTGTGCTCCAGTCCTACACTACAATTCAACGCTATATCAGATACATGAACAGTGTTGCGCCACAACTGGCGCAACACTGTTCATCTGCGCCAGTTTTTTTGTTTTTTTTTTTTATTATTATATAATATTAATGATAAATTTTTGTATAATATGTATTAATAAATGTATTTTTATGTTAAGTAACTTTGTACAATGTATTTTTTATGCTAAATAATTTTGTATTTTTTATTTATTTGGGTAATAAACATTTTATATAATATTAAATATACATATATACTAATTTGGAGCTGCAACTTTCTCTTAATTTGGTCAAAATAAGCTTCATTTCAAGTTGCAACTTCGGCTGCTCCATCGGCCCTCGTTTAGCGGATCGAGTATTAGCGAGAGTGCTTTCTAGAAAGCATGAGAAGAGGAGAAGTCGTTCGTGGTATTTATTTCGTATTTCGAGGCCCCGATCATTTATTTTGAGAAGTTATAATTTGAGGGTGCATATTAGTAAAATAAATAAAAATCCGTTCACGTCGGCCCCGCAAGGTCGCGTGAGATTTCAGTTTGCTGAGAAACGAGTTGGGGCGAGTAGATCTTATTGGCACGATGCCATTCGAGCCATTTATCGAGTATTCGAAGTTTCGAGCATTTATTTAGAGGAACCCGAACTAAAAACTGAAAAATAATATTAAATATACATATATAATAATTTATTTGAAATAAAAAACATATAAAAAAATAATATATTTAATGTAGAGTAAAATGTAGAGATAAGGGCTGGAGATGAATGTTCAACTCTACTCTAGAGTAGAGTAAAATCCGCGCTAGAGTAGAGATAAGGGCTGGAGATGGTCTAAGTAATGCAAACCTCTCTCTTAAACATAGAACTGTGCAACCAATTCAAACTAGACTAGGCCTCGAAGAAATATTCACTTTGCACACACTGGATTTAGGGAAAAAGTTGCTCATGGCCAAATCAACTAAGCCCGACTTCTAGCCTTCTGTATCTGGACAACCAAACTTGAGATGTGGACAATAGAATTTTGGATCCAACTTTAGGTTGGTAGTAGATTTGAAGTTATCATAACTAAATGTTGCAAATACTTGATTTTGTAATCTCTTTTTAAATAAATTAGCATTTTGATTTGTGTAAGTGGTAGTTCGTCATGTTGGTTGTGCCCTCAAAAATAGCTCTGATACATTAATGGTTACATCATCTTAACCTCTCCAGCAAAAGAATCTCAACAATTACGCCGAGTACAAAAGAAATTAACAAAGCACACCATGCAGATCAATGAAGCCGTTGAATATTTACCACTATCAAAATGAAAGAGTGAGGATAAAGTGGGAAAGAGTGTGATCCAGTTTTGGCTACATTTCCTAGGAATAAAATAAGAGAGGTGAGTTTGTTTGGAGGTAGCAGA